TACAAATCATTAGACAATATCTAGTTTTAGTTGTCATTAATGGTTCAGGAACAGCAACACAAGTCCAGATAGGTTGAGACACACAAATTTGCTGCTGAAGTATGAATTAAGTGGAAATTTATGGGTGGTTCAAATAAATCTGATGGCTCCAAGGATATTCTAAAGTTCAGTAGCTCTGTTAATCAACTCACCAGCCATGATGTTTCATTTTGGAAGGCCGGCTGTATATCCAAATTTTCAGGTCGTACAAATTGTTGTAGTAAAGCCATCTTCTCATAAAGTTCTCCATCACTGTTTGCATCTTCTGGAACTGATGCAAATACACGGCTGAAAAGTTTTGTCATGACATATTTCTCCAGACCCTGTACATATACAAACAAAAGGGCGATGTCCAGAAACATTCTTAATTTCAAAAAGCAAAAAGGAGAATCAAAGAATGAACAAACATGAATATGGGCCAAGATAATGATATAATGAAACATGCAAGAATCAGCAAATGAAACTACTGATCAACTTGTATAGAGCAATGTCATTCTAAAATACATGGGAACAAAACTAGAACTGAGAAATTTCAGTTAAGGTCTGTGAATGGGCTCTGAAACTCTTTTGCTGAAAAGAGAAGACAGTACAGAACACAAGCTTGCAACTTTTACAGGCATCAGCACTTGTTAAGAGCCATACATGTAGAGCCTGTGTGACTTGCAGATAATTATTGAAAATCACAAAGTGCATGGAAAGCAATATTGATTCTGCATATAACTAAGGGGGAAACAAAGACATACAGTCCATATATTCCAGTAAGACATAAGGTCAATAAGTTTTTTTAATACATGCTGACCTAAAAAGATTCCCTTTCAGAGAGCACCAGAAACCTCCTGTAAAGACATTGAATGGCAGGACACTTATATAGTGAATATATAGGTCAAGTAACAGCTAGTCAAGACTTGCCAAATGAACTTTCAACACAGAAGGTTATCTACTATAAAACTCCCGTGTTTTAATTCACTCAATAACCTATGGCCCTTGTGCATCTTAAAGAAAAGGTAGAGTAAATAAAGAATCTTTTCTTAATACCCTTTAATGATACAAGCAGGAACAATTCCTTTTGTCTTAAAATTTCCAAGGTTGAGGTGAACCATGTGCAATTTAAATCTTAAAAATTGATGTGGTACTGCAGACATTCACCAGTGGAGAAACTACAACAAAGAGGTTGGAATCTTACAAATCCAATGTTTAGCAGTATTTTTCTTGATACTCCATTTCTAGATTTTGCTATAGGGGGTTACTACCCAAATTGGCTATCACCAAGATAGTCCTATTATAGTCTTCTATTTTTGTTACTGTTTAATGATTTTTTTAAAACTGTTTAATGATATTGCATGCATCCATCCTCCTATATACAGTTTTGATGCAATTCTACTTTGGAAAAAAATTTGTTATTGCTCATTATGCTATCAAGAGAGAGAATTTCATGGAAATAGATTATTGTTTCCAATAAAAGATTTAGTGAAACACAGGAATGATTGTTCAAATAGGACTAACAGAATATATGGAATCTTACTTAAATATTCTATAGAAATATATTGAGTTAGCATTGATGTCCTGGAAGGTTTCTCCTTTGTGATTTGGGTTATCAAGTTTCAACTTACGGAAACAATCTCTGTTTCCACAAGGTTGTATGCATCAACTCTCTCTAGACCCCGCATAGGCGAGAGCCTTACGAATTAGATTTGATCTTTATTTTTATTAATAAAAATATGTTATGCTTTGTGTTCATTTGGTTAGAAGATAAGATATCCATGTCCTTTTTTTCACCTTTGGCTTTCATGTGTTGGTAAAAATAGTATTATCCCCTCATATAGATTAGGATAAATGGATCAACTTCTCATTTCTAGAAACAATTTTTCCATTCAGCACAAAAAAGTTTGTCGTAAATTCAGATGCATTCACAGCAAAGAGAACTGCCAAGGCTCACCTCTCCAGCACTTTCCAATTCTTCTTCTGAACTACCAGCCCAAAGCGTATGGGCTCTAAATGCTCCTTCCATGTTGGTAAGAAAATCCTGAACAGCAGCACTGTCATTTTCTGGATCAGGAGCTTTGTTTGAAAAGGAGACAATGAAGCTGCCATGTTAAATGATCCATCTTAATCACATTTCAATCCCACAGAAGCATGTTTAATACATTTTTAAACTACAGATAGTTGCCTATAACAGAAATTTAGAAACTAAAAGCTGCTGAAGAATAAAATCAGTGGCATGCAGTACAAAACAGTGCAACCTATATGACAATTTCAAGATTTCCAGATAAAAAGGTACATGTGGCCATATTGTCAGGAAGGCTTTTGCGTTTTAGGAAATTAATATGTATCATTTAGATCAACCATATAAGAGAGTAATAATCTACAATGATATAATTGAAGAGAATATAAATAGAAGATCAACTCTCAGACAACGAGAGACATTTCTACTATGATCATTCAAATGAATTAAGAGCATTAGGTCAATAAGAACCTCAAAAACTATACCTACCAATCCTAAGTCGAAAATGCTCGAGTTTCAAGTCCCACGGCATTTCTTTTCTGATCGAATTTAGGATTAGTTGACCCTTTCTGAATGGTTTCTACCAAAAAATAAAAATAAAAAGAAAACTCTGGGTTCCATGTTTAGTTTATCCAACTACTTGATATCTATTGACAAATAACTTGTTAAAGAAGGAAGTTAACAGCAAATACAAGTTAACAGGAAAGTCCTATGAAGCCGTGAAAGAAATAGGAAAAGTAGCCTATGAATTCATTATACACCTAACGTAAGCACACACACCACTATATTTATCTCCCATGGAATTAATTACTTCTACAGCATGGAACTCGTCTCTATGATCTTGCCGGAGGTGATGCAGGTATGACCTAACCAAAGGCTTCAACTTAGACGTAAAAGGAAGGCTCAAGAAGCGTTTAGCAAGCGATGTTCCAAGAGAGGCAATACCACAGGAAGCCCCTAACAAACCGTATGTGGCATCACCTCCTACCTTGAGGTAAAGTGAAGGTTAAGAACCAATAATCATCCTGAAATGAATGCTATAGCTGAGGTACGTGATAACATCATGGCTTCTCCAAGCTCTTCCAGTGTCAGATCAGCACCCACGAACCAAAGACGATCATCTAAAATCTAGGTGACTCAATCAGACGGCTGGAGTCAGGGAAATCCGCATCGAGCAAAGGTATCAGCAAGATCCAAGACGCCAATCTCCGTCAGTTCAACAAAGAAAAGAGAAGACGCAATGCGGCCGACAGACAAAAGCTAAATCAAGAAAGAAAAACCACATCTTTAAGATGGAAAAAGAGCTACACAAAAGAACAACCGCCAAGAAAGGGAACGGAAGCAAGATACAGACCTCTTGATCGATTTGACGAAATCGGCGGCGGAGGGGTGCCGCATCCGCTCCAAGAAGTCGTGCCAGGTGAGAGGGGCGGTGGAGGAGCCGAAGGCGTCGCCGCCGCCGCCCTCCATCTAGTGAGAAGTCTTCGAATCCGCACCAATCAAGGGCGCGGCGCTAAAGATCGAATCTTTCGCCCGGGGACGAGAAGGGAAAGGGATCCGACGAAGCCAACCAACGAGGTCCGAAGAAGGCCGACGGTGGAAAGAGACGAGAAGAAGGCCGACCGTCCCAAGTCTTCCACTTAATTTGGCGAACTGTCAAAAATGCCCTCGATGTGTTCACGCCCGAACCCAACACAAACCGCAATCCAATCAGAGTGTCACTTTTCAATTTAGTCCTTATTATTTTTATGTATTTTATTTTGATTGGGTTTTGCATGAAGACGCTTATTAAACTTAGCATTCTTAACAGAGCTGGTTTCGTTTCCATCTCATTGCAAGTATCTATCTATCTATCTGCTCATAGATTAATAAATATATATATATATATATATAAATAAACAAAATCTTTACCGGCTAAGTAAAATGGGTGTTGCGTTCTGTCATAATAAGAGTGCTTCGATTTAAGTGAGGTTTGGTATCATATTTAATTTGAAATTCTTTTCTTTTTTTATGATCAACGTGTAGAGATTTTTATTATATCGTATCTCATAAATAAAATTTATTTATTTTTATCTCGTAATCTTTGACAGTTCATTGAGAATTTAAGAAAATGATTAGTACTACAATATACTGTCGTTATCACATCCCATTATCATCAATTCTAACTAAATTTATGAATTAGGATCGGATCATGTGGGTACCATTTTTATAACATTTTAAGTTAACTTTACGTTGAAAGTTAGATATATATACTATTAGCATTAATTTGTGTTTTTATCTAAGACATAAAATACTATTGATTTAATAGATTTTATTTTTTTTATATATAATGCCAAAAAAATACTGAAATATAATATAAAAATATATATATTATAGCATAATATATTTAAAATGTTTTTACTATATTATAGTGTTTGCACATTACCAAGAAAACAATACGATATGTAGTATTTTTGTAATATGTTACATTTTTCTGATATTATTATTGAAAATTTTGTAATTGGATAGATGGATTGATCCATTAGGAGGGGAAAAAAAAGAGATAGATGATGGGGGATGTTTTAGGTATATTAATTAGGTAAAACACAAAACACTTTCTTTGGGAATTGTGGAAACGGAAACACCTTCCTCGGGTCACCTCTGCTGCCGCAGCCGCCAATTGGTCGTTTCCCGGCGGAACCCACAAGTAACATCCGGCTTTAACTACCACGTGGCGGTGAGAGATCGGAGCGGCACCGTAGACGATCCACCCCGACGCACCGTTTTTCTAGTTGGCGTTGGGCTCTGGGGCCCACACTCCGGGTTTGTGAAAGGCCAGGTAGGAGGAGATGGATTTGGGGGACGATCATCCGGGGACGCGTTTCTGCGGTACACGTGATAAAGTAAATGTCGTCACAATAGCGTAACAACCAAGCGAGGCGATACCCCCCCCCCTCTCTCTCTCTCTCTCTCTCTCTCTCTCTCTCTACGCCATTCTATATAATGTGGGAGCCACCATCTCCTCCTTCGAGTGCTTCCCGGGATCTTCGTCGCCGTAGAAAGGGCGACCCCTCTCCCGGCCGCCCCAGACATCGGTCGCCGCCGCCTTCCTCCTCTCCTCCCTCGCGCTCGGCACTCCAGGTACCGCCTCTCCTTCTCTTCCATCTCCCTTGCCTGTCCTTTGATTTCTAGGGCTCGACGCTGTCAGTGTTCATGTTGCTCGCCCGCGTCACTGTGTCTTGCATCACCATTCGCCTGTAGATTTCGCCTTTCTCGTCTTCTACAGGTGGAAAAATTCACCAATTGGTTGTAGGTTCCGTCTTTTGTGGCTCTTGTTTGAGGCTTAAGGTCGAAAATTTATGCTTCGTGATCTCCCGCGCCCTTGTTCCTTGAACTGTATCTCGATATGCACAAGTATTCGGGTTGAATTGCCTCAGGTCCCCCCCATTTCCCCCAAGAGTTTATCTTTTTTTCTATTTTATGATTTTGTCATCTTGTGCAAACGTTCTAGTCATATTCTATTTGGTAGCCGCAAGATCCAGTTTTTAGGGTCATGGATGTGTTTTCAGCTTGCCACTGATATAATTCCTTCTGGTTTCTGGCAATGAAGCCTTAATGGGCATTTTTTAGGCCATATTTGGGGTTGGTTGCTGCAACGCAAGTCACCTCTTCTCTTTACTTTCTGAAGAAAAGGAAAGTTTAGGAACTTAGTTCTTGATTCACATTTCTGCAAGCTTTTGCTTTCGGAATCCATCTGCTGAAGTCTTCCTTCAACTCTTTCCATTTCTTGTATGCGGTTCTTGCGACTTTGGCATTGTGTCATTTAATAATGCATTAGTGTTTGATCTGGTTTGAGTAGCTCTTGATCTCTTTCTTTTTTTATTGGGGGAGTTTAGAATGTGAAGCAAGATATCCGTGGTCTGTTTTTTTTATTTTTCGTGTTAGTTAGTTGTCCTGCACATGGGTTTTACTGAGCGCTTCGTAACACACTTGCCAACTACTATTTTTAAGTCTTCCACACCTCTGTAAGCAAATTAAAAACTCTAATCTTATTATGAATTTTACCACTTGTACACATTCACAACTTTGTTTAACAATCCAGGAAACTCAGATATTACTCAGTGTTCTCTTCTCTAGGATCTTAAGTTCTTTTGGTTAAAATGTATTTTCCTTTTGAGTTTGGTCCAGACTCCAAAAAATTTTGCAGCAACTTAACATGTTAACTGGTTTTCTGCATTGTTTTAGAAAATCTTCTAAGGATTTTTGTTTAAACAACATGAAACTCATTTTTGGCCAACTTGTTAGGCTCTCATTGTTTTCTATTATTATTTCTTTTGTACTAGTACTGTGGCTGTGTGGCAATCTTACATTTGACTTTCTAAAGATTTTAGAGTTGTGTTTTCTGATATATATAATGAATTTGTTTGAATTGCTATTTGCAGCCATAGATAGAAGAAATTCTAATAAATTGTAGTGTACCTTATTCTAATTAATGTGGTCCAACATGTGGACTATCATCATCCTGTGTGATGAAAAAGCAGCCAAATTAAGATTTTCTTTGGCTGCTTTTTCATCATCGTGGACTATCATCATCGTAATGGACTGAAATACGAACCTTGCACAAGATATTCTTCAAAGTCCGCAAATGTTATGTGATATAATTCTTACCTAATTTACATTGATTTTGCTAAACTTATGCTATTACTATATTTATTTCTAACTTAAAAACCATATCCTAACTTTTTTTATATTTTCAGGTATTTTCGGATGGTTTTACACCTAAATTAGATGTACCGCTCGGTATGCCCTAGCGTATCGCTCGGTACATGGTACCGTACCGTACCGAGCTAACCTCGAAACATCGGTACGGTACGGTATTGCATACCTTGGTATCTATAGTAATTATTTATTGTAGTAGTTGTTTATATGATATTATTAATATATCTTAGTAAATATATTGTAGTTATTTTTATGTTATCTTGTATACAATTCAGATGAAACAATTGTTTCCAAGCATGTTAAGTGTGTTAGTTTTAGTTTTCTTTGCTTAAAAATGACACAAAATGAGAACATCATTTACTTTTTTGATTAATCTGGGATGTTAGAGCTTTCCTAAGGTTATGATTTTGAGATACCAAGGACTAGTGAAGTGTAGTTGAATTTGTATGTGCGCTGATGGTTTTGATTGTATGTACTGTAGATAAGTAGTGTGGCTTTTATTTTTCACTGACGCTGGTTATTACAACTTTTCTCATAGATACTCTGAATCAAATTTGTTTTGCTAGTGGCTAAGCTTAGTCGGATCTGTAAAAATGACCTCTTTACTGAAGTTCCTTAAAACGAGGTCTTTAACACTTAAAAGTTGAATAAGGTTTCCCTTTGACTTTTGGTGGTTTCTGTTTCAGAACATTGGGAGTTTCTGTTACCTTTTCCAGAACAATCTTTTTGAAGACAAGAATTGTATGAATCTCTTCTTTGTCTTTTATGGGATTTTGTAGGGCCTGGATGATATGTTAGCAATCGAATTTTGAGATCCCTATATATTATGGGATTTTGAAGACAAATTGTATGAATCTCTTCTTTATCTTTTATGGGATTTTGTAGAGCCTGGATGATATGTTAGCAATTGAATTTTGAGATCCCTATATATTATGCCAGAGCATTTGATCTTTTGTCACCTACTTTTAACTAAATTATCTATGTTTCATATGATGGTTTGCTCATTATTAATGAAACAAATACTTGGACTCCAATATTGTGCTCCAGTGTTCTTGAAGTATGTTGATTTGTTCCTTTTTGTTCATCTTACCCTGTGACAATATGTTAATTATGAATGAAATAAATGCATCATGCCCCTTCTGATGACATCTGATAGTTTTGTTATTATTTTGTTTTCTTCTTTTCATTGCACATTTAGGGTGCATTAGCTGTTAAATTTCTTGAGATTCATGACTTCTTTCAGATTTTTGTGAGATGGCAAGAAGAATCACGAATTACCACAGAACATCTCGTAGGTTTAGGTCAACTCCATATCCATTGCCTTCATATCACCGACCTATTCCAGAAAGAGAAGAAAATTTGAAGAAAGCAGCATCCTTCACTTTGGAAAAAAAGGATTGGAAGGGTGCGACCTGCCCGGTGTGCATGGAATTCCCACACAATGCTGTCCTCCTCCTTTGCTCATCTCATGACAAGGGCTGCCGCCCCTACATGTGTGCAACCAGCTACCGCTATTCTAATTGTCTTGAACAGTTCAAGAAGGCAAATGCTAAAATGACATCAACATTGGACAATCAGATCCACTATTCGCCTGCATGGAAGAAATCTGAGGTAAGAGAGCTAGTGTGTCCCCTGTGCCGTGGCCAGGTGAAGGGATGGACTGTGGTTGAACCAGCACGAGAATATCTCAACAAGAAGAGGAGAAGCTGCATGCAAGACAACTGCTCATTTATTGGGAACTACAAGGAGCTCCGTAAACACGTGAGAACTGATCACCCTTGTGCTAAGCCCCATGCCGTGGATCCTACTCTTGAACAGAAATGGAGAAATCTCGAGTACCAGACAGAACGGGCAGATGTGATCAGCACGATAAGGTCTTCGATGCCTAGGGCAGTTATACTGGGGGACTATGTGATAGAAATGGGTGATAGTGACCCTGATAGTGATTATGACAACGAGGATGATGATAGTTTTTTTGACAATGGAAATGTGATCTTTGGCAGGAGGAATCATCGGAGTTTCTTTAATGCTCTCCTCCGAGAGTCGACTCGACATCGGAGGCTTAGCAGGAACCATGTATCTGAGGTTGGGGAAGGCAGCAGCGGCTATCTTCCAACCATTGTTGATCATGCTTCTCTTGATGCAACTTTTAGTTATCCGTTGGAGGAATATGATGACGAGGAAAGTACCATAAGTATAATCCATCCCGAAAGGCAGCATCATCGTCGTAGGAGCCTTGGGAGATCCGTACATGGTGCTAGATTATTGTAGTAGCACAGGATCAGATTCAAGGAAAGATATTATCCTTTAAGCATAGCTAATGCTTGAACTATTATTTTCCTCTTTTCTTCACACACATGATTGTCTGTTATAGCAAACATCAAAGCTTGTTCCTTGTGTCTGTTCCAATGTAGTTATTGATGATAATGGCTATGCTTGATTCTTTTCTTTTTTTTTTTTCGTTCTGAAACAAACATGGTGGAACAAATCAAAGCTCGTCATTTGGGGGTAACAATCTGGTTTTAATTGTAATCTCAGCTTTAAGAAACATTTGACATATTTTTTCTTGTCATGCTTGGTGTTTTGCTTGGGCTTGCAAGGAACCATGGAACAGGCACTTGTGGTTGGTAGCTTTAGTTATCTTCTCCATTTATGTTCCTTGAGATGATCAAGATGATGTCATTTGCCATGGAAGTATTCGTTAGTTTAATTAGAGCTGTACTTTCTCTACGAGACTTTGTTTCCTACCCATGGGGTGGTTGGAGGGGCAGCATGTATGAGACTGCAGGATGGAGAACAACTCCATCAAGCAACTGCCTGTATGACTGCACATGTGATATACTGATGTTTTTTATTGTATTTTCTGCACTGGCTTTGAGAAGCTGGGCATTTAACCTGAGCTGATATTGATTGGCTTAGATTGCCCTTAATCTTATTAGTGACCATAGTTTGATGTGGTAGGGATTAGGTCATTATTAGAATGCAGCTAAACTGGGGGCATTTTCAACTGCAACAGATGTTGAAAACTTGCAATGGTGGCATTTTATTGGGAATTTTATTGGGAATTTTCAACTATGAACCCCATAAATAGTTTACATGGAAATAGTTTAGGAAATGTCCCAAATCATATTCAGCTCTAACATCTTCAAACTTGCATGTAAACCAACTTAAGTTTGATAGGCGAATCAAGCTCAAGTATATGATTCAAGCCATATAAATTGTAACTAAAATTTAAATTAAATAAAGATTTTGATTGTGTCATAAAAATATCAAAAGCTTGAAGAAGAAGAAGCAGAAGCAGAAGCAGATCATAAAAACTTGATTAGAAAAAGGAAATAAAAAGTTCTGATGACCAAAAGAGAGGTACTGATCTCATCTAAAAATGTCTTCTCTCACACATATATGTAGTAGTAGTAGTAGCGGTAGTAGAACCAACTAAATCCAACATGTAATCAATTTTTCTCTCAATAATCAATTTTTCTTTTTGTGCAAACTGCGAGTGGCGAAAGTGAATTTTGATATCAGGATGTTGTAGATAATACTATTCATCGCCATTAAAATCATCATGATTGAATGTCCTGCTCATCATAAAAATTTATAGTGCTGTAAATTAAAGGGAAAACCACAAAAAGAGTATAGCATGAGAAATAAGAAACATGGAAGCAATGCCTCTGATGTAGTCTGCAGTTGTTTGTTTGTTTGCTCCCCAAACTTAACAACATTTAAGGAAAAGAAAATTACAATGTTTAATTAATTTTAAATAGCGGGTAGCCGTTGCTAGCAATGTGCTAGATGATGCGTGAACAAGGGAAATAGAAGAAAAAAAAAGATATATAAATGAGCAAAATACACTTTGACCATTTTAACACCTACAGGTCGATTCATATACATAGCAGAGAACCAGGAAAAGGATTTCTAATCCAGGCTTCTCTTACTCAGTAACACTTGCCATTCACAAAAAATAATCTCCAGAATCTAACCCAGCCTCAGAGAAGAGAGACTACCAATTACCTCAACTTTTGTTGACATGGCTGCAAAGATAAAGTTAGGAGGCTTTCAGCTGCTGATCTCATTAGCTGTTGAATCATCACTGAGATTGCCGTCCAAGTATCATCCAAACACCAACATTCTCAGTGATTATTTGGATATTTTACAAGCATAATCTGGATAAAGAGCGAAAAAAATTTACAAGGTAAGTGATTTGTATTGCAAGTAAAAGTTTGGTAGAATCCTGGTACACCTACCTACGTATGCCTTCCTTCCATGGCTTCCTTCTTGATTTGGCAAGTTGAGCAGAGGAAGGGACCATCCCAAGGATTGATTGTTCCCGGCTTTGATGAACTAGCAGCATGTACAGAAATGCCTTCACCCGGTTTCATCTCCAACTGGCAAACGGCACAGTTGAATGGTTTGAACATGGTAAATGCTGGATATTCTGGATCCAACCTGTCATTGCGATTACTTGTTCGTAAGTCTTACACATCAGATCAACTTACATAAGCAAACAAGATGCTTTACAAAATCTCCTTGTCATAAAAAAGAAACGCCTTACAAGAGCTTCCAGATCAGGAAGGTCTTTGTTTAACACTAGGGAATCCATTTGACATGAGATATATGAAAGATGTGGGAAGATATATTTAAGTCAATGCTCATAGTCACATCCACATGAAAAAAAAATTATAATCTATTTAACTAGCAATCTTCTACTTCCTCGAGAATTTTGCAATTGCAGGACCGACAAATTCTTCAATATCTCAGACTTCTCCCTTCTGTCCTCTCAGTCAGATGAGAAGGCACCACTTAAATCTGCCAATCAAATGTGTGGATATCACATGGAAAAGATTTTCCTAACATTTAGATTTTCCCTCATATTTGCTTCTGATAAGATGCATTTTTTTTCAGGAACAACACCAAAACAAGCAGATATTTCCGAATATTCGGGTTCAGCTATATACATACTTTCTAGTCATCTTAAATCTATTTGGTTGTCTACGGCTCTACATGTAGCTGAACTAAAAAGTGGCATTTAGAAAGCTACACATACCAACGTGGTTTTCAAATTCTGCTGTTTAGTTTATCAGATGTTGCTATAGGAAAATACGCAGATCATGAACATTGAGCAAAAGGAAATGACCAGGTGGAAGATGGATTAAAATAGTGGTTTTAAGAGGATATGGAGGTTTTGAGAGGATAGCGAGTGTCCTAAGTGATTTCTTTTTTGAGTTGTCTGTTTTTCTGTTAATATAATTATGAATGCAGTCGAGGTTGGTTAGTAAGATTACATAGGATTGATCTAAACCTGACACTATCAGACGACAAATCCAGCCTCCCAAATCTGGACCTGAGTGATATAACAAGCAAGTTAAATCAAGCATACTTAAGTCAATGATCAAGTTCACAAATGAAAATCACATTATTATTGTTTTTTTTTCTTTTCTTGAATAAAGTTGGTCAGGTTGGATTGATCTGTCAAGTAGGATTTTGGATCCTCACTTTACTAATAATAAGATTGATTGCTCCATTTCAAATGACCAAGCCGTAAAATTGGAAACGACCAAAATAAGCATTAAGTATAGAATTCTAACCGCCTGTGCTTTATTCCTATTTCATGTTGCCCATTCCTGGTTTACCTTGTAATTCACCACTACCTAAGAATTCCCCCTTCAGAAAGTGTATTTCAATTACTCAACCAATGTTAAAAATCAAGAATTTTGAAAGGGAATAGTTGATGCATTGACATATCATTTGATATTAATGTGGCACATATTTAGGAAATGTTGAGATGGAGTATATGTGGTGACTGTACCTGCTATCTTCATTCTATACAAGTATCACATGAGCATCACATCTATATTGTTCTCATGTGGCAGATGCGGGTGGCATCCATGTGAGCCAATATGGGTCCATACAGGGACCTTTTTGTCTGCCATACGGGCACCTCATCAATGCCATGTCAGGATTTATTTGTATAATTACACTATATATATTTCTTTTTTTATTAATTCTAATCTTTGTATGACCTTTTCCTTGTAATTAACAAGTATAAAAAGCCATAGTGTCTTGACTATCTGAAGTTGGGCACATGGGTCTTTTCCACCATTGACCTTATCCTATATTATTTGAAATTAATGACCGCAAATGAGATCTTTTTTTTTTTGTTGCACGACTGCCAAGTAAGTTAAGTGTCATAAAGTGAACCACACGTAGGTTAAGTGAATCGAGTTTTACCAAAGATGAGTACACTGTAGCTAACCCTTCAAATTAATGATTATGCAAACTGGGACTTTGGATAGCCTCGAGCAACGTAGTTTAAAGTTTAGTTTTAGTGACTGCTTCTAAAATGATGCAACACATATTGCCCACCACCAATGAGCACAATGCTAAAAGCAATGCCTTGGTCAACAGTCAACATCGTTCTTCGTGAGGAAGTTTTCTTTGTCTACTTTTATTTCCCCTGAAACCTTGGCATCCTTTGTCTTCTTTGGATATGACTAAACCATCTTAAATAATGTTTCCTCATCTTTGCCTCTGAGATACCATCAATGTATTTGTTTCTACTTCTATCTTGTAAGCAGATATCCAAGCATCCTCTCTCAGCTAATGCTAACTGAGAAGCCAGTCTAGATAGCTTCACAGAGAAACCTCACATATAAACATCATCATATCGCTGCCTACCTATATGAATGTAATATCATATGCTTCACAATGGAAATACAAAAGCCTACCTCAAACAATTATATACAACATGTGCTTATGCATCTGATTTAGATCATCAGATTATGCAGTATTGAAATAAAAAATGCATGCATCTACTAAAACTTGAGAAAAAAGCGCTGATCATAGAATATGCAAAATTTTGTCACCAAAGTGTTTTCTGGCTGGAGATACAATATGCAAGAGTAAATTTCAATCCATGCTGAAACCTCGGCCGGTAATTTAACATACTAATATGCAATAGAATTCAAGCCTGATTTTGCAGTCAGGTTTGGCTTAATATATACGGACCTTTGGGCAAGGATTGGGGACCCATCCTCAAAGATTTCTTCTACCATGTCTGCTTCAGAATAGTCTCTATCTGAAAATAATGATGACTCAGAAGATCTTCGGCGGAACATATTCTTGAATACACCTTTCCCTGGTCTCTTAAAAGCTGGAAAGGAAGGTGATATTTTCTCCGGTGGTAGTATGTCAACCACAATGCATGTAGTATCATCTCGAAGTCCCTTTAACTGCACAGCTTCCTGAATGAAACTTGAATTATATCTGGCTACCAAAGACTGTGATGTACTATGATCTAAGTAACAATATTCTCCTGTACCTTAATAATTCTGATAGCTGCAGCTTCTGCCGGCAACCCACGAGAACAACTAAGAGCCTTTTCTGCAGTCAAAGCATCCCATACACCATCGCTTGAAATGACAAGCCGTCCTCCGGCATTTGACAGCTGTAGCAATTATACAAACCATTTATTAGTATAAGCACTTTCATCTAAAAAGAAAAGAACTGAATACTGTCATAAATTACAGTCAAAATACATAGATTACTGCCTATAAAACCAATTTGATGTGTTTG